TTAAATAAATACGAGTTTAATAAATTCAGACTTGTTGAGTGCTCATTAAAGAAAGTCATTAATGCAAAATGGGCATATATCTTCAATGATGTTTGTATTAAAGAAAACCTCGTTCCGAAATATATATATATATATATATATATATATAAATATATATATATAAATACATGAAAAATGCAAAAATATACATAAGAAGATACAGAAATAACACTATTTTGTATGTTTAACAGTGTTTAACAAAATCATTTTGCATGTTTAAATTGTTTATAAGAGGACTCAACTAAATAACCGCAGACGGATTAGGAATTTAACTTTTTACTTTTGAGATTATTTGATAAGATTTCAAATCTTGAATTATTAATCAATATTGTTTATGTTTGTTTGTTTGCTAGTTTTTGTTTGTTTGTTTTGTTGTTGTTGTTAACATGGCACTGCTGTTATTTATGTCTTTTAAATGATGTTTTAACAATTTGAAATATTGATGAAATTTCATACATTTGAACTAAGCATACATACATTCATTTAAATATATAAGATGTTTGTTTGTATCACACACACACACACACACACACACACACACACACACACACACACACACACACACACACACACACACACACATACATACACATACATACACACATATATACACACATACAGACAGACATACAGAAATACAACTATTTTTCATCCCGTTGTTTTATCCAAAATTTTTTTGTGGTCATCCCGAATTGTTGTAAATTCTGCCGTGTCATGATGGTTATCGTTATTATTATCACTATTATTATTATTTATTATTATTATTATTAATATTATTGCTGTTATTTATTATTATTATTAATATGATGAATAATTCTGAATAGAGTTAATTAATAATCTTCATATTATAGCATCATCATCAGCACTGCTATCATCATCGTCGTCGTTGTCATCATCGTCATCATCATCATTATCATCATCGTCATCATCATCACAACCTGATTGTGACTTGGACTCTGTCATTATCATTAAGAAGTAGAATCACGTTAATAAGAGAAAATAAATCGCCACTATCATCATCATTATCGTCATAACATCGTCATCATCATTATCATCATCGTCACCATCATCATCATCATCATCATCGTCGTCGTCGTCGTCTTCGTCATCACCATTACTCACTCCTACGGAGCATTTGTATCACCATGAGAGGTAGAAATGCAACAGTAATGCAGACGATGATTGTGATCGTCACCCATATGCCACCTGTCCATAATTAATAATAAATAATAATAATAATTATTATTATTATTATTATATTTATTATTATTATGAAAATAAAATTATGATAATTGATGTTAATTACTAACACGTTTTCGCACTGTTCTTAGCTTGAAAGTTTGAATTTAAAAAATTGTTTCAACCAAAAATCGAAAGCTGAAGCTTAACTAATATAATAATTAATAATAATAATAATAATAAACAATAATAAAAATAATTATTATTGTTAATTTTAGTTGTATAGGTTATTTTTTTCACAGTAAATATAATATTAAATAACCACTCATTCTCTTGTAGCCAGCACCTGCCCTCTCGGTTGGAGCCGCGTCTGCTGGCTGATAACTGGCGTCGGGAAGTAGTCAACGTAGTCGCCACCATCGTCGTCGTTATGGTCATTGTGGTAGTCGTAGGAGGTGTTAAAGTAGGAGTAGTTTGCGGCCGTTTCGTTATTTTTCACGAATTTGAGTTTTTCTAAATATTCATTACCTCCATGAACCCTGCAAAATTGTTATCATCATCCTCATCATCATCATCATCATCGTAATTCTTATCATCATCGTCATCATTCTTATCATCATAGGGTAAGTCATCATTTTCAGGATTTGCTTCTGAGTCCTCCATCTGCCCGTCCGCTGTATGCAACGAGGCTAGATTGGTTTAGTAATAATATTATTAATAATAATAATAATAATTAAGTAGTAGAAGCAGTAGAAGTAGCAGCTTTAGTAGCAGTAAAAGTAGTAGTTGTAGTAGTAGCTGTAAGTAGTGGTATAATGATAAACAGATGTAGTAATGTGTAAGGGTAAAAGTTCACATGTTTGGCTCGTGCTTGCCAGGGCAATGGTCGTAATTGGTTTAGAATTAATTGTAGAGAGATACAAAACAATTAGAAGCATCAGCATCTTCGTTATCATCTTCCTCATCATTCTCGTCGTCGTCATCTTCGTTATCGGCGTCTTACTGTAGCCTCGGTTTTCACGATGAATAATATTATTTATAATTTGTTACTATCGTCAATTTTTTGAACAATTATTAGTGGATTGGTTTATAAATTTAGAAAAAACAAGGTTGACGTTTTACGTATAAAAGTGAAAAATATTAAGAAACATAATTTTTAATTCACTCTGTGATGTTGCAATTATTATTATTAGTTGTAGAAGTAGTAGTAGAAGCAGTAGTAGCTTTAATAGTAGTAGTAAAAACTAAAAAAAAATTCAAATTCGAATCTCTTTCCGAGTCGTATGCAACTTGGGTCCCTCAAAAAATTTCCACTCGCCAAAAAATATTCGAATCTGACAACTAGTAGCATTAGTATTAGTAGAAGTAGTAGTAGTAGTAGTAGTAGCAGCAGCAGCAGCAGTAGTAGTAGTAGTAGTAGTAAAACTAGTAAAATTATAAGTAGTAATGTGTATTTGATTCGAGCGTTTGTTACTCCCTCTATTTTTAATGGTTTTTCGAAACAATGCATTAGTTGTTAGTGAATAATTGATGTGCATTTAAATACGTCTTCTTGTTAGCTTTCTTGTTTCTGTGCGTGTGGGCGTGTGTGCGTGTGTGTGCTTTTGTTTGTTTGTGTGTTTGCCTGTGTGTACGTGTGTGCATTTTTATATTATTTGCCTGTCAATATTTTTTATCTCAAAAGATGGCGGAGAGATTGTATACAAATGAAAAAAAAAACAAAGAAAAAAACAGAAAAAAATATATAAAAAAAAATATAAAGAAAAAGAATTCTAACAGAAAGAATAAAAACGGAGAAGGAAAAAGAGAGAGAAAGAGAAAGAGAGAGAGAGAGAGGGGTGGAGAGAGAGGGGGGGAGGGAGAAAGAAAGATGGGAAAGTGTGTATTTAGGTGGTTGTAATTTGCTGAGCAAATACATATTCATTGTTGTGTTGGCGGAGAAGAAAAATAGAATTTCACATTACTCATCATCATCGTCGTCATCGTCGTCGTCTTCATCATCACGAACATCATTTAAAATAATAATGAAGAACTTGTTAAGGATTTAACCTTTCAATGAACCGGGCAGCAGATGTCTGTTTGTTTGTATGGATGTATGCTTGTTTGTATGCGTATGTACCTATGTATGTTCGTATATATGTATGTCTCCGTAGGTGTGTTTGTGTATGCGTGTGCGCGCGCAACGGAATGAAAACATACTCACTCTCACACAAACACACACACATGTATACATATATATACACGCATAGAAACAGACACGCATCAACACATAATACGCACATAATACACATATACACGCTAAAATACTCACCCCCGCATGAAAATACAGAAAAAGTAGGCAGAAAGATATTTTTAGAAGACATATAAAGCCCATTACATCAATGCGTCTTCATTCATTTAAAAGTATTTTTGTTTAAATTTTTCCAGGAACATGTTTGTTAAACAATAAGCACTGAAAAACAATAATAATGTAAATAATAAAAATTAAAAAAAAAAAAGTGAACTAAATTAAAATTACTTTAAAAAAAATTGGTCAAAATTGAAAAAAATGGAATAAAAATAATTAATGATTGTTTTAAACGCTGAAAACTTTGAAAACTTTGAGAAAGTAAATTTTAGAAGCAATCAAAATCAACATCAACAACAACATCAACAACAACATCAACAACAACATCAACAACATCAACAACAACATCAACAACATCAACAACAACATCAATAACATCAACAACAACATCAACAACAACATCAACAACAACAGCAGCAAAGACTAAACTAAAAAAAATGAATGGTAGCCATAGAGATGTTTGTTTGCCAAAAAAATTTAATTTTTTAAAAGGACTATTAAATAACTATTTGCAATTATCATTACCTCAGAGATGAGATCACAATCATCACCGTCGTAACCACCATCATCATCATCATTAACATCATCATCGTCGTCGTCGTCATCATTATTAATGTGGCTAATGTGGCCGCGGCACGTTTCCATTCTACGCATGAAGTGGTGTAATCTGGCAATATGTTGAGGTGGCCGGGGAGTTATGATGACGATGATGATGATGATGATGAAGGTGATGAAGAAGAGCACGACAAACACAAAAGAGGCACCTCATGGTGATATCGTCCAAAGACCGAATGCTACGAAAACCAAAAAAACCGAAACTTTTGGAGAAGAATGATCGTTTAGAAGGAAATACTCAAGTATGAAGAGGACGGCGGTTGGCAAGTTCTCTCCATCCGACAATTCTCCAACGAAATCATGTTCAATTTCTACCTCGACAAATACAACACTAACGACAAATTTGGCGGCTACGATTAAAAAAAACAACGATGATGAGAATGATTGATCCATAAACATTAATTCATTCACACATTTACATAGCTTCATAATTTAACTGGCGCTCCGCCATCCATTTGTTCATTCATTCATTCTTTTGTTTATCCATTCATATGTTCATTCATTCATTCATTTATTCATTTACTCATTCATTCATTCCATCATTCATTCATTCGTGCATTAATGCACTCTTCTCATTCGCAGACGTTTGTCGTTTGAATCAGGATATTAGCCGACGTGGTTGTGTTGCTGATGTTGGGCTGCCAGTGACTAAGGTGATGATGATGATGACAGTGATGATGATGATGGTGGTGGTGATGGTGGTGGTGATGGTGGTGGTGATGATGGTGGTGATGATGGTGGTGATGATATCGATGATGATCTTTTAGTGTTTCTTATTTAATTAGTGGCCATTTTCATTTGTTTATTTGTTCCCCCTTTATTCATTTTAATCATTCGTTCATTCACTGGTCCATCCATCTATCTGTTTATTTATTCATTTATTCTTCCATCCATCCATCCATCCATCCATTCATTCAATCAATCAATCAATTGACAACATAATGACCTTCATGTTAGTACGTCCTCTCAAGGTCACAAACAGCTGTCAATCAACATTTCTAACAACGCCTCCAATCAAACCAACCAACATTTATCACAATTATGATGATATAATGATAATATAATTGTAATGGTGATAACTTTTGTGATAGCAAAGATATAATAGTGATAGAGGCCGGGAAATGTTTAAATTTCTTCCCTCTTTATTCTTCAAAATGCGCGCGAGGGAGTGATGGGTCTTGGGAGTTTGATGTTATGACAAGTTTTCGCTAGTATTTTGAATATTTTATGATGTTGTAGTAGTAGCAGTAGTAGTAGTAGTAACGAAAGTATTTGCAGTAGCAGCAGTAGTAGTAGTAGTAGTAGTAGTAGTAGTAGTAGTAGCGTTAGGGGTTGCGGCGAAGAAAGAGAAGAAAAGATAATGAATGTTTCAATACCATGGGATAATCCTTGGCGATAATTTGACAACTGAACAAAATATGCATGCTTGCTAAAAATTACCCAAACATACAAACAAGCCTACAAACAAACATACAAACAAAAATACAAACAAAAATACAAACATACAAAAAATATACAAACATACAAGCAATACATAAACTTACGCACACAATCATATTTATATGTTGCAATCAATGTATATAAATTGTTTGTTCAACTACGTCTACAAACATAAAAACGAACACTCATATATATACAAAAAAATACATGAACATTCAAACAAATACATGAACATACAAACAAATACATAAACATACAAACAAATACATACAAACAAATACATAAACATACAAACAAATACATAAACATACAAACAAGTATAGAAAGAATACCCAAACATACAATGAGGCAAAGATGCAATCATGCAAAGCTCGAACGTTGTATCGAAGACATCATCTTATCAGTTACAAGTGGCAAATATTAGCATCTTAAAATCAAATGTCAGAATTTTGAAAAAGACTAAATTATCTTTTAGCTAAAAACACACATGAAAAACATACAAACAAATACACACAAATAGCAACAAATACACAGTAAGCATTATGAAATACGCACAGAATTGTGTGCATGCATGCAAGCCAATTGTAAATACAGAACGAAATCAATAATTTAATTAGTTTATATCAATAAGCTATCTAAGAATTTTTCCTTTCACTCATGCATCTTTCTATCAGCCTATCAATCAATCAATTGATTGATCATTCACTCTTTTATTTATTCATTTATTCATTCAGTCTGTCATTCATTTACTTGTTTAAATATTCAATTACTTCGGCTATCATATTTTATACAATAAATTTATCAACCCATACATTCATCAATTTATTATTTTTATTTATCTATTAACTTATCAATCCATCTATCCATCCATTTTTTAATTCATCTATTCATCAATTCATCCCTCCATTTCTCCCTCCATCCATACATCCATCCATCATTTCTTCAACCCATCCATCCAATTGGATGTTCATTAAGCAATTACAATCAATCAATTCTCCAGCCTGATTAGATGCAGTAAATGATGAAGCGAAGAGTGTTTTGTTTGTTTGTTTGTTCCTATACAAAATTTATAAATAATTTGATTGTTTATTTGTATGTAGGCACGTTTTTATGTTTGTTTGTATGTTTGTCTGTTTGTATAATGTTTGGTGAATGTGTTTGTTTCATATAAGTATGGTGTTATATTTTTGAATGATCGATTAGCTACCACGTTCTTAGAATATTTCAGTTGTATGTTTTTTTATTGTTTTGTTTATGTATGTTTGTGTTTTGTTCGTTTGTATGTGCGTGTGTATGTACGTATTTATATACGTAATGGCATAATGGTATGCGTGAAATGTTGAATTTTGCGTGCCTTCAAACAATTGTAACATTATTATGCGAAAAAAATTAATGTCGAAGAAGGCCACTGAACAACAAACAAACAAAAAAAAACAAAAAATAAAAAAATAAAGATGGGAACGATAAGAAAGCGTGTACAATAAAACAACAACAACAACAAAATCTTTTTAATTAAAATGAACAACATACAAGCAACTATTCATACGTGCTGTACAAGCTAAACAAAATCAAACACACGTACACACCTACATACACGCATACACACACACACACCTACATACACGCATACATTCAAACATACAAAGATAGATACATACAAACATACGAAGATAGATACATACAAACATACAAAGATAGATACGCACAGACATGCAAAGATAGATACACACAGACACATATACACCAGGGCGTCATTTCAAATGGCATAAGAGTAAGGTGGGAGAACTGATATTGATGGTGTTTCAATTTGAACAATGATAAACAACTTTTGCTTGTATATTTAGTTGCTGTACTAGAAAAAGTAGTAGTAGTAGTAGTAGCAGTAGTAGTATTAGTAGTAGTATTAGTAGTAGTAGTAGTAGTAGTAGTAGTAGTAGTAGTAGTAGTAGTAGTAGTAGTAGTAGTAGTAGTAGTAGTAGTAGTAGTAGTAGTAGTAGTGGTGGTGGTGGTGTAGTAGTAACGACAATAAATGTAGAAGCGGTAGTAGTAGAAGTAGTGAAATATTTAAAAAGATAATTAGTAAAAAGTTAGTAGCTATAGAAGCAAGAGTAACTTTAGTATTTGTTGAGAAGATGGGGGTGAAACCAAAAAAAGTGCAAAGGAGTGAAGAAAATCGACACCCCCAACTGTTTGCAATTTCAGATAGAAGTGAAACTACTTGAAAAATTGTAATAAATTACTTTCACACTTAACTAGCTGGAAAAATATGTAAATTTCGCATGGCACGTTAACATAGGTGCACCTAGACACATACATTCAGACGTATATACATACATACATACAAACAGACAAACAAACATAGACACATACATATAAACATTCATTCATACATACATACATACATACATACATACAAACAAACATACAATCATTCACACATATGTGCAAACATACATACATACATACATATACAAATTTTTAGGATTTCTGCAAATAGCAACTGGCATTGAGTGTTAGCTAGTAGATAAAGAAGTGTAAATAATTTTTTTGACTGTTTGTATGTTAGTATTTTTGACTGTTTGTGTGTTTGTATGATGTTCTTTTTATTTTTAGCCCATTTTTGTTTTGTATTTCTGTTGTTCAATACAAATAATAATACTAAATAATACAAAGTTTTTCAGAATGATACAAAACTATGCAACAAAAATAAAAAAATTTACAAAAAAAAATAAACAAAACCAGATCGCAAAAAATACAGAGACACACACAAAATATACCAGATGATAATACAACGAACAACGCGCTGAGAATACAAGAAGTACAAGAAATACAAAGATACGACTCAGCTAGAAACGCTGTCAATAATGCAGTACTCGTGATCAAAGCGAGCCAGCGTAAAAAGATTAGATGAAAGAGATAGAGAGGTGAGCGAGAGAGAAATAAAAGAAAAGAAAGAAAGATAAAGAGAGAGAGAGAGAGAAAGAGAGTGAGAGAAAAAGTAAGCAGGCTCTGTAGTAAATTAGTCCCTTCCTTTCAAATTAAAATTTTTTCCTTACCTAAGTTATAAAAAAACCAAAAAAGTATTATTGATGGAAAATATACATATATACATGCATGTATACAATATATATATATATATATATATATATATATATATATATATATATACAAACAGACGCGGTGATCTGTCATTGGCTACGGAGACAAAACGTCATCGGAGCACGTGATTGATTGGAAAAACAACAGGACCGCCATCTTGATTAGTGGGTTAATAATCGAGAGGGAGATGACGATGATGATGGTAATAATGATGATGATGATAATAATAATAATAATTTATTCAAAAAATGTTCACAGACTACAACATCAACAACAACGAGGACGATGATGACGTCAATGATGATGTCATTGAGAATGTTATCGTTCTCCGTAATGTTGGTTTTATTTGCGTCATGGTGCAGCCAGGTGGCTGTTCTGACGTCAGCGGCGATGGGTGGCTGGAAGGGTGAGTTAATTGATTGGCCGGTTCGTTGGTTCCTTTGTTGATTGATTAGTTGATTGATTGATTGACTAAATGGTTGGTTGATTGATTGATTGACTAAATGGCTGGTTGATTGGTTGATTGGTTGATTGGTTGATTGATTGATTGACTAAATGTTTGGTTGGTTGGTTGATTGATTGATTTATTTATTTATTTGAAGATTGTTTGGCTGATTAATTGATAATTTTTGAGTGATTGATTGATTGATTGATTTTACGATTGATTAATTAAATATTTTTCTATTTTGAAATATCTAGAACATCCTGAAAATTCCATCCATCAACTTCATCGTCACCATCAGCAGCTACAACAACAACAACTACAACAACAACAACAACAACAACAACTACTACAACTACAACAACAACAATACTGCTTAAAAGAGTCTTTCAACACAACCTGCCCGGTAGATCACGTGATACTGGTGACGTCAGCCAGATACGGACGAATGAGAGGAGGAAGATGTATACAGGTGAGGACGATGATGATGACGATGATGATGATGATGATGACGACTTTTATTATCAGTGTTTCGTTTGTAGCAGTTATTGTCGTAACTAACAGGCAACATTCGGCCATGTTGGATGTTCAGCGGAAGTGACGTCATACTTGGATGAGGTCTGTTCCGGAAGAGGATCGTGTTCATTTCCGGTTTTTCGCCTGTTCGATGAGAAGCCCTGTCCGTCGGATATGATGTCGTACTTGGAAGCTAGCCACAAATGCGTCAGAGGTTGTTGATGATGATGATGGTGGTGATGATGATGATGTTGATGATTATGATGTTAATGATGATGTTGATGATGATGTTGATGATGATGATGATGATGTTTTTGTATCTTTTGTCTGTTCGATGTTTATATCACGTACACGGACGCAGTTGATGAAATTTTTAAAAGTTGTTTTTCTAAAGAAGATGATGATGTTGTTGATGATGATGATGATGGTGGTGGTGGTGGTGGTGGTGGTGGTGGTAATGTTAGTGCTGATGATGATGATGGTGATTTCGAGGTGATACGATGATGACTTTTACGATAATTTTAAAGTTTCAGAGAACAAGTGCGACAATACAGGCTTCATTACAATAATACCTGAACAACAACAACAACAACATAAACATCATCAGTTACTTCTGACAACAACGACGCTAGCTCAAAACAAAGAAAACCAATTCACAAATACCTCAAACAACAACATGATCAACAAAAAAAGCGTCACTAACATCAACAACATAGTCAACAACAACAACGACATCAACAACAACATCGGATATTTGCTTATTTCCAAACAACTACCTACTTGTCCATGGAAATTACAAGTTGACCAGCAACAAAAAATTACCTTTTCAATTTTTTCTTTCATCATCAACAACAACAACAACATGGCACAACAACAACAACACCATTGTAACATTAATCTAATGTTCGAGGAGCCAATGTTCATGTCGGCAAAAACGCATGACGTTGATGTCTGCCGTTTGAAGATTAGGAAGACGCTTCTCTATAGCTCTAGAAAAAATCTTGTTATTATTTACGTCCACAACAACAACAACAACATCAACAACAACAACATCAACAACAACAACCACAACAACAACTACAATAACGATAATTTCGGCGGTGAAACCTTTTCAACCCCATATCTCCTACAATACGAAAGTATGTTAATGTGCCTGTTGTTGTTGTTGAATGTTGTTGTTGAATGTTGTTGTTGTTGTTGAATGTTGTTGTTGAATGTTGTTTTTTTGTTTTTGTTGTTGTTGATGATGATGACGTCATAATTCAAAATTCAATTTAACATTTTTTTGTCAAGCAAACTTCCGCACTAGGGAGCAATGCAAATGACCCTAAATTATCGTCACGCATACATTCGTTAGAAGCTGCCTGCGAAATAAAAATACCCAGCTGTAAACAAATACATTTTCATCCCAAAAACATACAACCCCCCGCCCCTATCTTTAAACCCCCCCTTACTTGACCCTCCCAGTCGTGGGGTGTCCCAAAATTTCACCCCCAGCAAACGCATGGGTGCTGCAAGATGACCACAAGGCGACCATCCGCTGCAACTTCTCCGACGAGACGTGGTTCCTGGCTTGCGACGGCAGCCTCTGGAGTGGCAGTTACGGCAGCTGTGCTAAACATGACGCTGGTAGTCATAATGATGATGACGATGATGATGATGATGACGATGACGATGGCGATGATGATGATGGTGATGATGACGATGATGGTGATGGTGATGATGACGATGATGGTGATGGTGATGATGACGATGATGGTGATGATATACTGCCAGGGATCTCCATAACTTTGGAATCTTCGCTGAACAGATACAACCCTCTCCCCATAGGTAAGATGGCGTCGATAATTTTCAAACATAATAAAAATTATAATAATTATTATTAATTATTATGATCATAATTATAATCCTGATAACGCATTCCTCGCACACAAACATGGCATCGTTGCAGTCGGTCGCGGCTACTTCAAGGGCAGTGTCCGGCGTTCCAACCCTTACAACAAAGCGCCCACCATAATTATAATAATAATTATGATTAATTACGTTAAATTATAATTAATTATGATTATAATTAGCAGTAGCCATAGGAATAATACTCGGAATAGTAATCGGGTCGGTTCCTCTGGCTCTCGTGTATGCTTGCCTGAGGAGGTGGGACTTGTTGTTGCTGTTGTTGTTGTTGTTGTTGCTGTTGTTGTTGTTGCTGTTGTTGCTGTTGTTGTTGTTGCTGTTGTTGTTGCTGTTGTTGTTGCTGTTGTTGTTGTTGTTGTTGTTGTTGCTGTTGTTGTTGTCGTTATTAACTTTATTATTATTGTTGTTATTATTATTATTCATAACTATCTTATCATCGCTGTACTTATTTTATTTTAAATAAAAAGCGATGATGACTAACTATGATGATTATGATTTAATTTTAATTTAATTTTAATTTAATTACAGTAATTTTGTTGTTTTAGTTATAGTTTTTGCAGCAGCAGTAGTAGTGGTAGTGGAGGCAATGGAAGTAGCAGTAGTGACAGCATTTTGATATACGTTCGAGACACGAAAATTGAAAAATATACAGAATGAAATAAAGAATACATACAAACTTGTACAGAAACAAAAATTTACAAACAAATACACACAAACATGTTTGCCTTATTCAATCACGGATTTGTTGGCAGATTTTAGTGTAGCTTGCCGAGAGATAAGAGAAGTTTTTGTTACTTGCCTTTTTTGAGCGTAATTGGTTGATTGGTTGGTTCGTTAGTTGGTTGGTTGATTGGTTGGTTGATTGGTTGATTGGTTGATTGGTTGGTTGGTTGATTGGTTGGTTGGTTGGTTGGTTGGTTGGTTGATTGGTTGGTTGGTTGGTTGATTGGTTGATTGGTTGGTTGGCTGGTTGATTGGTTGATTGGTTGGTTGATTGATTGGTTGGTAGTAACATAATATTAATGAACAATATATAGCGCTGACAAATAAAATCTATAACATTCACATACATGGAAAGCCAATAAAGAAAAAATTCAATGGCATGATATATAATCCACTCTTTGTATGACGTATTTCCTGTATAAACGCACGAATGCCTGTCGCTTTTTGTTCTTTATGTTCTGTGTGTGTGTGCGTGTGTGTGTGTGTGTGTGCACGGGAATTTCTATATATGATGATATTTCCTGCTAAAAACATCACATGGAAGATCAAACACACATTCATATATATATATATATATATATACCGGGGGAGAGAGAGGGAGAAAGAGAGAGAGAGAGAGAGAGAGAGAGAGAGAGAGACATATTTTGTATTCAATTTGTTAGTTTAGTGTGTCTTTGTCTGTTTGTTTAAAGTTAGTTTACATTGTTCAGTTGGTTGTTCATCGTTTGGTTGGTTATCTATAAACATTGAAATTGATACATAATAATAATTAAAATAATGGTAATAAAAATAATGATATTATAGATAATTATATAAATAATAATATTATAGATAATAATATAAATAATAATTAATTAAAAATAGTAAAATCGTTTCGTTAAAAACTTAAAAATTTGGTGAAATAGACCAGTTTAACGACTACATCAAGTACATTAACATTAATAACATTGGACACATCAACAACAGAAACAAAAAACAACATCAACAAAAACATTTGACACATCAACAACAACAAAAACCTCAACATTAGCAACATTTAGAACATCAACAACAACAACCTCATTACCTAGAGAGCTTTGAATAATTTCACACTGCTTTGTTGTTGTTGTTGTTGCTGCTGCTGCTGCTGCTGCTGACGTTTTTTGTTGTAAATATGCGATGTCGTTAACGATAAACGCCGTTAATGTATGCATACAAACGAGTGTGAATTTTGTTGTTGATGTTGTTGTTGATGTTGTTGGTGTTGTTGATGTTGTTGATGATGATGTTTATATTGGTGTTGATAATGACGATGATAATGATGGCAATCAACTTTTTGAAAATAGCCGAAATAAATTAAGACTTAATTGAAAATACAACAACAAACTATACGAAAAAAGTTGCAGAAAAGTTACAGAAAAGTTGAAACTAATTTAAAAACGCACCCTGTGACGTCACGGTGAATGATGACTTCCGTTTCGTTCAGCCATCTTGTTGGTGGCCATTTTGAAATGGGCAATTTTGCGCGGCTTTTTCAAACGATGGGTCTTTATTTTTATTTTTATTTTAATGATAGTTATATATCTTTGTTTTATTTCCTTTCTTTGTTTCTTTGTTTTTAATTCGTTTTGTATGATTTCGCTTCTTTGTTTGCCCTGTGCCGATGGAGTTTTTAATTTCATGTTTACGTTGTTGTTGTTGTTGCTGATGATGGTGATGATGATGAAGGAAAGTACCTGGCTATCTCTCTGTTAACTGTTTAAATGTATTCATCTGATTTTGATGAAGATTTATTTGCATTATACCCTTGCACAAACACATGCATGCATACAAACAAACCAACATACAAACAAACAAACCAACATACAAACAAATAAACCAACATACAAACAAACAAACAAACACATGTAGACGTACTTTTTCGTTACTTCAAAATTAACATTTCAATAAAAATTCGGTGTTAAAGTTTTGGAAATTTAAATGACTGATGCATGCACGCAGTGAAAATACTTTTTTTCTATCCTTTGTTGTTTATTTTGTTTTATTTATGTTTGCCTGTGTTTTAAACATTCTCTTCTATCTATGTTTTTCATGTTTGCTTTCAACTTTTATGAGTTCTCTCATCTTTTTTACTAAATGCACGAACAACGCCCACACATACTCGCACACACGTACATGCAGACTGACATACAGACATACAAACACACAGACAGACAGACACATACATACACACACACATATACATAGTAACATGCAAGGAAGGCTGTCATTTTTAATTAGGCTTCGAAATAGTTTGATAATTGTGTCTTAAGCGCATGGTGAAGAATGTGTTTGTATGTGGATGTATGTTTGTTTGTTTGTTTACTTGTGTGTTTGTTTGCTGGTTTGCTTGGTTGCTTGTTTGTGTATGCTTGTATGTTTGATTTGTAACAGAGTGTTGCAATGATGTTGATGTTAAATAAAATGATGATGATGCTGACAAACACCCATCACAGAAGGTGGCAAGAACAACAGCAAACTGAGCTGGAACAATATCAACAACAACATCAACAACATCAAAAACATCAGCAAGAAAATTACAACAACAACAATATTAATAATAATATCATCGAACATCACCACACAACTTCGCGTTACTTTTTCACGGATGACAACAGCATCAACAACCAAACAACAACTAGCACGCCAGCATTCTACGATGGCCAGCAACAACAACACCAACAACAACACCAACAAAACTATCACCCAATAACATCAACAACACAGAACATCAACAAAGACATTAATGATGATGATGAGGATGATATGGACCTAGGCAGGTATGTAATGTAACAACGTGGGGCTTGCTCACTATGTTTAGATCTTAATTAACTTAAAAGCGTAAAATTATTATTATTATTATTATTATTATTATCTATTATTATTATTATTATTTTTATTATTTATTAGTAGTAGTATATTACGTTACATATTTTTCAATTTTTATAATTTAGAATTTGCCCGCTTTTGCCAATAGACAAACAACAACATCAACAGCAACAGCATCAACAACAACAACTATTATACAATTATACCAGACCGCAACAACATCATCAGTCATCGCCGACAACATCAACAACTCATATCTACAATCTCGTTACAAATCCTTTAAAATGCAAGCACTCCTTGAAATCGAACAACAACAACATCAACAACATCGACAACATTTCAACATATACGTCTGCCAGCCCAACATCTTGCTCAAATTTCAACTGTTATAAAGTTGAATGTTTAGATAAGCCAGATGTCATGCAGTTAACCGAACAAAACTATCAACATCAACAACAACAACCATACTTCTATTTAACACTCAACAAACAAGAACAAGATCAACAACAACATCAGCAAGCACAACAACATCAGCAACAACATCAGCAACAACAACATCGGCAACAACCCAGCGTTGGCGAATCATCATCATTTAAAACATTCAATAAAATATCTTCAACAGAAGCAATGAATGCGAAATTTGCGATTTAGATTTCGTATATTTAATAAAAAAAAATAAATATAATCTATGTAAATTTCATTGCTACTATTGCCCGTATTAGTGTTTATTGTTAACTTTATATTATAACTACTTTGTTAAACTTATTTTCAAGCAATGAATTAAAAACCAATTTTCATCTGGTGTATTAATGTTTAAATAAAATCATTATCGTCGTCATCATCACCACCACCAACGTTAATATGAACACCATTTATGATATCACCATCTTCATCATCCTCATCATTTTCATCATCATAAATACTCTCCTTCTACGATATTTTTAAATTTTTAGTCTTCTACGATCTTTCAATTGGAGATGTGCCGAATAGCGAATTAGACCGAATAGTCGAGTAGTTGATCCGGCATTATCTGTTCAACGTCGAAAGCCGAACCCCAAAAAAATTATTATTTAGAATGGAAAACAAGCTATGAAAGTATCATTAGACGATTCGTGTCTATCAAATCAAACAATTCTTCATCGAGATAATCCTCAATCTCTTGCTCAAATTCGGATATTTCAACAGATATGATGGCTAAAATTAACTTCTTCTCGCTAATGATATTTAACAGTTATTTTTCTGGAATCCTTAAAAATCCCAACCCAAGAAAGGGATGGCTTAAACAGAATTTGCACAGTTTGGCTAACCAGCCTTTCAAAATGATCGTGTAGCGAATTTCGGCGTGTCTCTTCTCTCTCAATCTGTCTGTTCATTTATTTTCTTTAATATAAAATTAAAAATAATTGTATATATATATATTTACATATATATATACATTTTTTCAATTTACCATACAGGTCGTTAATGCTAATGGTTGCATAATGGAAATATATAGGCTAAAGGAAAAAAATCCTCTGTATGAACGTACGCCTATTTGTGTGTCTGCGTGTTTGTGTGTGTATTTATGTCATCGTTCATCTGTGTTTATAATTAAAAAACTCATTTCTATATTAAACAAAATGCGTACATCGAATTAAAAGGAAAAGTAATTTCTTTTAGATTTGAGTCTATTCTAAAATTCTATTCGTCCATATTGTCACCCCGCAATCAAAATCTGAACTTTCTCATTCGTCTTCTTTTAGTTTCGACTTTAAAAAACTTTTTTTTTAAATTTTTACTTCTTGAAAGGCTTTAAAAGAATATAAATGAAACAAAGTCTTGTGTGACAATTTTAATATTTTTTTGCGTTAATTAGGAGTTACATGGCATATGAAAATATAAATCTGTCCAATATCAGGCAATAACTATTTCTATTGGTCACTCTTTCATCCATCCAACATTCAATCAGTCTTTCTTTCCATCATTCATCCACTCACTTCATCAAATTTTCAAATAAATCTGCGATATAAACCGTTGGCGAAACAAATTAAGTGCTCCAAATCTGAAGTCATCCATTGGTTCACGTATGTAAGTAGCATCGTTATTATTATCATAAAATAATATTACCATAATTTTATTAATAATAAATAATATTAATCAAATTTTCATTTCAATTAAAACTCCACAAATAATTAAACGATTCATCTTCAAATATACAACACAACCGAACAAATGTATGTAAATATTAAGTCATTATTATAGGTAATAGCAGTAATGGAAGAAAATGGAGTACTAACGATGAATAATATACAATAACAACTTTTTAATAATTAAAATTAATTAATAATATTAATTAATTAATTATTAACTAAAATTAGCGATTGTATGGGTGGTATGGAGTTGCTGGTGTGGTCGGTCCTCTCTTGGCTTTGCCAGCTGAGAAAAGAAACAAAAATTATCTATTTATTTATTTAAAATTGAATCAAAAATATAAAATTAAAAAAATTATGAATAAATACAAAAAATGTTAACAAATTATAAACGTAATTAGAAAATGATGAACGTACAAGCATCTTGCTGACCATACCAGCTGCTGTAGTCGTAACCTGGAAGGCCAATTCAACAAAAAAATATTATAATTATCAATTAATTTAAACTAAATTACTCAATCATCTAATTGATATTTTATCTAATTATTCCAGCAATGTATCAAAGATAAATTGAGTGATTAAATCATCAATAAAATTATACAAACAATCAATGGCAGCACATGAACAAACAAACATAGCTACATACAAGCTAAATTAACTGACCAATGACATCACACTGACCAAACTAACTGACCGACGAAATTACACAAACTAAATCAACTGAATAATAATAAAACATTAACCAAATTAACTGACCATCAAAAATACATCTCTGCGCACAACTCAGCCAATCAAAACAAACCACATCTAACAAATTGACCAATCAGAACTCACCATAAGCGCCAACACCAGCAGAAGGCACAGCAGCTGCAGTAGCAGTACCGGCTGTTCCAGGTACAGTTCCAACGGCAGCTGGATACGCAGCCGTTGGATAGGCAGCTGTTGGGTAGGCAGCTGCATATTGGTGAGCAGCAGTAGCAGCTGCATATTGATTATATTGGCTCCAATCCTGTCCATAGTAGCTGCTGTAATCGTAACCTGGGGGCATGGCATAACCAGGGTAGCCAGGGTATGCATAGTTGTAGTAGGCACTGTAATCGTAGACACCTGTTGTTTCGTGTGGTAACATATAAGTAACCAATCATAATGCTTGAATTAGGCAATGAAGTTAATTGTTGGCTGAAGATATGTACGTTGAGTGAATGAAAGAAGGAATAAATGTTTATTGAATGAATGACAAATTGGTTGAAAAACAGAACACATGAATGAATGAATGAATGTAGTGAATGACCAGCAAACAGACCTCTACCTCTCGCAGCAGCAGCAGCAGCAGCAGCTGAAGCGGTCCTGTTCATCTCGTTCTCAGCTCGAGGGGTGGCCCTCCTCACATCAACCTGGTCGGTCGGGAAAATATTTGATCATCATTAAACTATAAATTTGGATAATTTTGTTTAATTAATTATATATTTTTATTATAAAAATAAATCATCATCAATACCAACTTCTCTCTCTCCTAATTTTTGTTTTGGCAGTGCACATGCTTCTTCAGCTATCTTCTCCGACTCGAACGTGATGAAGACATAAGCCCTCCTTTGATTCTTTAGTCTATCAAATGGGAGTTCTACTTCTTCGATCTGGAATGTGATTGGTCAAATGAAATGTCATTAGCCCTTTGATTCTGACAATTGGCAACATCAGTACATCAACAAAACAGACACAAACACAGACACAGACATAAACACACACAGATACCTTGCCATATTTACAAAAGTAGCTCCTAATTTCAGCTTCAGGCATATCAGGGCTGACTCCCCCTACAAAAATTTTTCTGACTGGGTCCTTATTGTTGGTTGTTACATTGTTCAAACGAGACATGGCTCTCTTCGGATCAATAGTTTTACCTTGCAGGACGTGCGACTTCTCATCACATACCTGATTTGTGATTGGTTACAAAAGTTTAGGAATGTGTTGTTTTGAGGGAGGGTGATTTTTTGCTGGGTATTTTTCAGTGTGATAATTAACCATAATGAAAAAAAGAATTAAAGAGAGATTTTTGAAAAAAAAATCTTATTTTAAAAAATTCTTTAACTCAAAAAATGAAAAAAATTTATTTTTAAGAAATTTTTATTAGGAAATTCTTTTGTGAAATTGTTTGGTTACTACTGCAATAGAATAGAAGTAACAAGATCTTTGTATTTTTCATTGTCAAACGACGCATTGGAACGCCAATTTAACCTATAATTCATGGGTGGGAAACAATATATATGCTTGTGAGTAAGTAATCAAACATTATTGTTAAGCATTTTTAAGCAATTTTCAGGCATTAGATCCAAAAGTTATCGTTATGTTTCTTTACTGAAATCCTTTACTTTTTGGAAAAGAAGAAAATAAATTATTAAAAGTGAAATTAAATTAAAATGTGAAAACTTGTGTGGAGCAAACGACAAACTGATTTCTTACTTTATCAACAGCTTCAACATTTTCAAACAGGACAAAACCAAATCCTCGTGATCTACCAGTTGCTGGGTCCGTCTTTAACGTGCTATCAACAACTTTCCCAAACTTCGAGAAGTAGTCTCTTAGATCATCTGTCAGGATCCATCAACAAAAGATTTTATTAATTAATTTATAATATGAATATATTACAAATCATAAACAGATTTATATTTAAGTTTTATTATTAGTATTATATTATATTTATATTTAAAAAAGCAAAATTACTCACTGACTGTTGTCTCCCAGTGCAAACCTCCTACAAAAATCTTTCTCTCATCATCATCATGTTTTGATGCAGAAGCAGAATGTAAAGGCTCTGTAATTTTTTCTGTACTGCTAGAACTTTCGGGTTGGTTGTCATACTTGATAGGTTCCGAATAGTGATGTGTTGGGGGGTCTTCTTTGCGTCGTCGGCCATCCGAGTTTGAATTATCATCATCGTCGTCGTCATCATCCTCGTCTTTCTCGTATTTTCTTTCATTCTCAATTTCATCATCTTTGTGGTTCTCTGGCACTTCCATCGGATCAACATCATTGGAATGGAGATTTTCTTCTTCATTGTCATTTTCTTCATTATTATTATTATTACTGTTGTAATCGTTTTCCTCCTCGTCACCGGCGTTTGTTTGTCTTTCATTACTTGATTGGCCGTCGACATACTCCGCCGATACATCCGGATTTTCGATGGCCTCATCGAACTCCTCCTGTTCGGCCAGGTTGTAATTAGCAAATGAAGCTTCGTAGTCGGCATTTTCATCACCGTAATTTTCTTCTTCGTTCGTCGACATATTTTTATTTTCTCGCGATGTTCGATGGAGATATTGAAATCTTTCTTATTTTCACCGATTATTTACAACACATAAAATTACTACACATATATAGCAAATCAGTGCGAAGCGGAAATCCAAATTCACATAGAATCAATAAAGTTAATTAAATTATTTTGTAGCGCTTCACATTCGATAAAAATGTTTCTTTGTTGGTTTTACAAGTGCAATTGACAGCAACATGGCTTGTTTCATAACAAACAGCAGAAAATATTATGCCAAAATTGCATATTAACTAACGTTTATTTAATGTACATAAAATTTTGTTAAATTTCACGATTTAAAGTTTGTAAAATAACTTTCAAAACAATTAAAAAATAAAAATTTATCGTGCGTTCAGTGCCATTACCGCCAGTGGGCCAGGTTTTAAACGTAGGCGACCGTATGGCATGGCGGCACTTCTTCAGGTGTGGCATCTTCTCAAATGTTAACTACGAATTTTTCTTGTTTCTGACATAATTCAAAGGGGCGTAGTTTTCTGGGTTGTCTTTGTAAAACCATAAAGTTGCACTCCTCTGAACATGCAGGCAGTTTAAATCTCCGAGAGAGCTACGAGCCGCGATAGATTGGATATATGATTCTATGAAATAGAAAATAGTTGAATTGTTTGCGGATGTGTGTGTCTGCAGAGCGTGGTGAAATGAACTAGAAATTTGTTACTCATTGATCGAACATGTGCAGGTCGGTACGAGTTGAATATGATTTTTATAAGCATGTTACCAATAACAAAAGTAAAATAATATGAAAAACTAGTCTGGCATATCATGACAAACAACAAATAGTTAATGTTTGCCTAAAGATACGGAGAGTCATTCAGTTGAAGATAAAGTAAGTGTGAGTTAAGAGTAAAGTAATGCTGTACTGCTGTAATCGTGTTCTTTTCCAATTTAGATGCCAATGAACTTCCCGGCTAATTGGGATTATTTGTGGAAGCGGCCGTCGCAGTTAGGATAATATTAAAATAAAAATATCTTTCAACTGAATAACTATATACAAATATATATGTATGTATATGTTATATATGTATGTATATGTTATATATATATATATATATATATATATTATTTATATATATATATATATATATATATATATGCATATAAATTAACTAAAATCTAAACTTTCTGATTGGCTATATATATATAATTTTTTTACATGTGTTTTAGTTAGTTGGGTCACAATCATCATCATCATTATCGATATTACAAAAATAAGAAGTTTTTTAAATGTCAAGGTTGGTTTCGTCTCTGATATGTTGTTAGATCACGATGATATATGTGTGCATGTATGTGCGTTTGCATGTGAGTATAAGTAACGTAATTAGGTCTATGCGTATACGAATTCGTTCAATAATTGACTTCTACTAACATTTTTATTATCACTCTTGTTGTTATTAATTTCATTACCAAAAATACCAGTTTTTAAAGTTATCAAAACACCTGACAAGAAGCACAAGTGGCAAAATCAGGAAAATAGTTAGGATAGCAGTATAATGGTTTCAAATTAAAATCTAAAATAACAAAAAATTGTTTAAATAATGATTTTATATATAATTTGAATTCAAATTTTACAACAATAAATTTCGTGTGTGTTGTGTGTAAAAGTCAGGCATTAAATTACAACACATAAGTTGTGTTATATTGAGTTATACACTTAAACATTTGTGGTAAATTAACATGACGCGGCTAAAACATACATAAATGTTACATAAAATTCATTTAAACTACATGCACATCACGTTTTCTCGTAAATTGTGAATTTGGCAGAAGATTTTTGCAATTATTACATCGAAAAATCACCTTTTATTTACCATATTTGAGAATTTTCACTTTTTATTCTACATGCATGCTACTTCATTGAATTGTATTGTGAAGTTTAGTCATCTTTTTATGAAAAGAATGCATTACGACGGCGTATTCAAGTAAAATAATCTATGATAATATAAATGAAATAATCTATTATATAAATACAATGATGAATATTTACAATTATTCATTTATTATTTATATTTCAAAGTAATCAATAAGCTATGCGACTGATCAAACACTATTAGAGCAAACAAAACTTCCTCATTTAATCATTTCTGAATGTAATTAGAGGCATTACACAAAAATATGACAATAATATAGATATTATTAACTAATTAGATGAGCAAAACGATGACTTTGTGATGAAAATGATGATAAATGTTTGGTTGAAATGCATTGAGATTAATAACACGTAGCCATTGAAATATTAACCAATGAAAATTGAACACGCACGCGCATGAATACTTCAAGGCGTCGAGTTGAGTTGTGACGAGGCTTTAAATTGCCACGTTACGTCGGACAAATTTTACAATTTAATTCTCATTTCCTCCTCTAACTCGCCTTTTTAAGTTATTCAGATTGTCAAAAAATAAAAATTTAACTCCAAATTCACATTGTAAAGTTATAATTTTAACCTGAAACAGTGTTTAAAAGTTTTAATATGTTTGCTAGAGTTTGCCTAATTTTAGTGATTGTGTTGGTTGGGGCCTTCGCTGAAGAATTCAAAGAGGACGAAGGCGTGCTGGTCCTCACGAAGGATTCCTTCGATAGGGCCATCGAAAAGTACCAATATGTCCTCGCCGAGTTCTGTCAGTAGTAATGTTTTTTTGTTGATTGCAACAATGATTCATTTTTTTTATCTATCATCATTGCTTTCCTCATCTCTCGTTTCTCTTTGTCTTATTTTGAATTTGAGTGCATCCTAACAATCTTACCGCCATGTTTTTTAGTCTGGTGTTATCAAATCAAAATGTGGCTAAAAAATTACATTGAATTTATAATTTTTCGTAAACATTGAAAAAAAAGTGGTCATTAAGAAGTGTTTTAATAACTTTTGTGTGCAGATGCACCATGGTGTGGACACTGCAAAGCACTTGCTCCTGAATATGTGAAGGCAGCTAAATTATTAAATGACGATAATTCTGAAATTAAATTGGCCAAAATTGATGCAACTGAAGAAACTGAATTGGGAGAAAGGTTCCAAGTTAGGGGGTACCCTACTTTAAAATTCTTCAGAAGCGGCAAGCCCGTCGATTACAGTGGAGGAAGGACTGCCTCAGAGATCGTGGCCTGGTTGAAGAAGAAAACTGGTCCAACTGTAGTTGCATTGGAAGATGTTGATACTGCAAAGGCATTCATTGAGAAGGGAGATGTTGTTCTCCTGGGATTCTTCAAGGTTGGCTGATCAAATTCAATGCATTATTTCAAAATTGATAATTAGTAAGAAGCAGTGGGAACATTTTGTTTGATGATATGTACCTCAGGATGCTGAATCAGAGATGGCAAAAGCATTCAGTGAAGTGGCTGCATCGATCGACGACCTTCCATTTGGATCATGTTCTGATGAGAGCATCTTCAAAGAGTACAAAGTTGAAAAAGATTCCATTGTCCTATTTAAGAAAGTTGGATTTTTATTTTAATCCTAATTAGTTTCCTGATTTTCATTCATCTCACACACTCACAAATTAATTTCTATATCTCCAGTTTGATGAAGGTCGCACTGATTTGGCAGAGGGTGTAACGGTTGAATCATTGAAAGAGTTTATCAAGGGAAATCGTCTGCCTTTAGTGATTGAGTTTACACAAGAGATAGCTCCATCTGTGTTTGGTGGTGATGTCAAGAACCACAATCTCCTCTTCATCTCAAAGAAATCCGATGCTTTCAGTGAACATTTGGATGTTTTTGCCAAGTTGGCTCCGGAGTACAAAGGCAAGGTGCGTCTCCTTCTTTTCTTTCCATTTCCTCTTTTGTTTCTCATTTTTCTCTATTTTCTTTAAGTGATGGAATAATGAATTAATTTGGCAGGTGTTGTTTATTTACATAAACATTGATGAGGACGAGAACCTGAGGATTTTGGAGTTCTTTAACTTGAAAGTTGAGGACTGCCCAACATACAGGTACATCACGCTGACCGATGAGGGCATGTCCAAGTTCAAACCAGACACATCTGACATCAAGTTCGATAGCATTAAGACATTTGTTGATGAGGTCCTTGAGAAGAAGAGGAAGGTTGTTAGCTGATTTATTGATTTTTTCAAATTCTGTAATGTTATGTAATATACTATGCTATGCCCACACCAAGTAGACTGCAACACACATACACAAGCACTCTCACACACGCACACAGACACACTCACACATCTGCAGGCACACTTGAACTCAGAGGAGATCCCAGAAGATTGGGATAACAAGCCAGTGAAGGTCTTGGTGGGGAAGAACTTTGACCAGGTTGCCAAGGACAAGTCTAAGGATGTCTTTGTTGAATTTTGTAAGTTTCTGTTTGCGTGTGTTTGCGTGACAACTGCAGTTAAAATCAAACCTGCATACATGTATTGTATAAACATGGACAACTGGACAAACGCTTAACAACGAATAACCAGATGCTCCATGGTGTGGTCACTGTAAACAACTGGCCCCCATCTGGGAGGAACTTGCAGAGAAGTTCAAGGACCACAAGGACATCATCATTGCAAAGATGGATTCAACTGCCAACGAATTGGAAGACATCAAAATTCAGGGATTCCCGACTCTCAAGTTCTTCCCAAAAGATAGTGACAAAGTTGTTGATTACAATGGCGAGCGAACTCTGGCTGCATTTACAAAATTCTTGGAATCTGGTGGCAAGGATGGAGCTGGTCCTGCTGAATCTGTTAGTGTCAATCTGCTTGCTTGCTTGCTTGTTTTGTTGTGGGCGAATGGTCGGCTAGGTAGGTGTCAAGTATAACATTATGTGAGAATTTTCTTGATAAAATAGTAAATTTTAAGTAAGAAGTAATGATGATTGACTGAATGACCATTATGCAAGGCATGTTGAACTTTTCTGATGGTAGGTTGGCGGGTGGATGTTGATGATCATTTATTTAGTTTTTTTTAACCTGTATGATTTCTTTCCTTTATAACTTGCAATATAATAATAATGATAATGATGTTGATGATTCTGCAGGAAGCTGAAGATGTTGAGCATGGTGACGGACTGGATGGTGAGGAAGAGGAAGAGGAAGTGCCCAAAGATGAATTATAACTATCTGCATCTTTTTTGTCATTATTTCAATCATCTTCTCCTCAATCATCATCTTCCTTTTAACTATTTTCTTAATCCTTTTCATCTTAACCATCATCTCTTTAATCATCATCACCATTGTCACAATTGTAAACATCATCATCGTCATCTTTTCATCATAGCATTGTTATGATTTAACCTGATGTGTTGCATTGTACGTACGTAGTGATGTCTGATGTAAATGGATTGCGAATGTATTGATTGATTGACGATTGTCAAATAGACTTGTTAATAAGAGATAATAATTTTTGTAATTCATTTTTCTTCACTTGTTTTGTTAAATTGTTTAATGTTTTCTTTAGAATATTATTTTGATGGAAAATTGTGTTGCTTTTTTATAAGTTCATTCAGATGAATTGATTGAGTGGTTGATTGAATTAAATGTGATTGTTACTGGTGCATGAACATGCGAACTGTTTTGGACCAATAACAAGAAAGACATTAATGTTGATAACTCCAACTAAATGGTGCCAATATGAAAAACAACATCATTAATTCAGTCTCTTTCAGTTTTTTTTCATTTGTCTCAAACGTTTTAAAATTCTCATCTTAGGCTTTCTTTGGTTGAATTTATTTCTATCTCTAACCCTGACCCTGTAACGTGATGAGAGTTATGTTGAAAAGTGGTAAGGTGGGAGGTGTTCTGATGTGACGTCAGGTCATCCTCCTTCCCATTTTACCTTCTATTAGGACGATTAATTGATTGGTAGCTATGATGAACTTTTAAAACATCTTTGTTCAATACACAGTATAGTGTGTGCGTGCGTGTGTGTTCGTTTTCTTGTGTGTTTTTTATTTAAATAAACAAGATTAATAATTTTGATTGGTTGGTCTGTTTGATTTATTATTATTATTGTTGATGCTTTTGTCGTCAGTTATTTTTAATTTGTTATTGATTTGTTAATAATAATATATATATATATATATATATATATATATTACATTTGTTGTTAATATTATTATTATTAACGATTTATTAATTACACAATTAGAATCGAATAGAGAATATATTTGTAAGTATATATGTATATATGTGAATGAATATTTTTTAATGTAAATGACGATGCTGATGTAGATCAATTGAATAACTGAATGGTCAGTTAATTACTTAATTGTTCAGTTAATTAATCTAGGAATTGTTTCTGGTTGATTCGATCTGTTTCCGACCACCTCACGTCATCTATAGATATATATTATGTGTATGATGCAAGTTGCAGAAGATTTTTGTTCATTTGTCAGAAATAAATTGATCCGTTTTTTGTTCTCGTCTCGTTTCTTACGAAAAGAAGCTAACTCAAAGGCCTGTTTAATTTATAGTATTAAATTTGAATATTTTACCCAATGTAGAACGTTGGTTATAAGATATATGCCATTTATTCGTGTGTAATTTATTTATTTACTATTTTTCATATTTTGTTATATAATGTGTATGTGAAATCACAAATTAATATACCCCAAATGGAGGTCTGAGTTGAATTTATAAACGTATTGAATGAGGATTTTTTATTTGTGATTCGTTCAGTTTATAAGTCAGCACAGTACATAGTAGTGGTTTTTTTAGTTTGCTAGTTTTTTATTGTCATAAATTTAATTTCTATTCTCCCTGTCTCTGTCTGTCTCTCTACCTATGCGTGTTATAGGCTGGCTCATGTTAACAGCGTTTGCTAAAGTATTTTTAGCAGGAGTGTTTATCTTAATAAATCATTTATATAATTATTAGACGGAATGATTTTATATGTCTGCGTGTATCTTGTTGTCTGTGTGTTTGTGTGTTCCAAGTTAAGCTAGGTAATATGTATAATGAGTTTCTTGCTCTCAGTAGCAGCGCTTGTTATGCCTATTATCTTGAAGTTATAGACAGGGAGATGGTGTCAGTTGTTTTCCGCTGGAGTGTCAGTAGGATTGAATGATTTGTCGGTGGCATCATCATATCTTGCAATAAGTTCATTTACGAACCACGAGATGTTTGAATTCAAAAATAACTGTTACTATTTAGGGGAGAGGGTTCAGAGTTCAAAGTTTGTTGAATGTTGTTTGCGGTGCCTAACTAACCAGGTGATCATGCTTCAGATGGTGATGCCCTTCATTTTGTTCGTTCGTACGTTCGTTCGTTCGTTTGTTGGTATGACAGTGTTTCATTTTTGACCAGGCTATCTTGTATGGTACTATTGCGACTCACTACGTAATCATTCTCTTCACGTAGAACGTCACCGTCAGGTTATTGTAAACTTTTTTGGATCTGCAAATAACTTAAAATAGCGTTCATTGTTTACGTAAGAGTTGAACTCGCTGCTCAAACACCCCTTCTAAACAGAGATCGTGTTATAAAAATAAACAATCCAGTTGTATCAAGAACATGAAGACGATTCCAAATGAAATTTTTCAAAATTTAATCGCTTTTATGAAAATTTTAAATTTTTAAGTTAACAATTTTTTATTAAAGTTGCTTTTTCCAAATAGGCAATTTTATTAACGACATAGAATAGAAGTTCATTATTTACATTATTTCAAGCTTAGATGAATGCTGACTGCCTACAAGATGATATATCTTGTAGGCAGTCAGCTTTTTATAAAGAAAGGAAATAATATTTGAGATTCACGATTAAATTTCCAATCCAGCACTTGCACTCGTTTAAATTTTAAACATGGAAATAAAATGTGATTGAGAAAGTGTTGTAGAGAGGTAGCAGGCATTACGTAACTGAACGATAGCAAGATGTAACCCACGCAAATGCCTCGCTTCGTCTTCTTCTCGTCTCGTCATCGTGATGAAACTTTGACACGCACTCACATGGGCACACAATCACAAACCAGCTTACGTATGTATATATTTAATATGTGTGAGTGAATGTACGTTTATATAAAGTTGTTAATTGCGAAGTTTCTTTGAAATCAGGCTAGAAAGTCCCACCGTTCAACATTACAACTTTGGTGCGCACTGCGTGTAGGCTAGACAGGCATGTTGTTTGTAGACAGGATCATCCATTTGTTGTTAGATCTACTTACCGAGCAACAGTTCGTATATGACATTAATTTCAAATAAAAAGAAAGCAGATCCTCTTCTTTCGAAGTGAAAAGAATCTCTTAGATTCATTTTTATATCATCAGTGAGGTCACACTGTACAAAGATTTATAACATTTGAAATGATAATGTTTGTGTGTGTGTGTGTGTGTGTGTGTGCGTGTGTGTGTGTGTGTACACACAACATTCTTCACACACACACACACACAGACACGCAGACAAACACAAACGTACATAACAAATGTGTACAATATGATTTATGCTGATGTTTTTTTGCGCCAGACTCATTCGTTTAAAAAGTTTTTTAAAAGTTTTGTTCTTTAGGAGTTGTGTTGTTTCAATTTATCTCATTTTCTTTCTTCTACCTCTCTCTCTCTCTCTCTCTCTCTCTCGCTAATTAGTTAATTAACAGTTTAATTAACTCATTTCTTAATTAAATTACTCATCCGTTTACTTATTTTTTGATTAACGTTTCATTATTATAATCTGCAAACAACAAATTATTTAACCTTGTTTAGTCCATCAAAAAACATGAATAAAAATATTAATACATTAAAAGTTTTAGAAGCACGTGGGTAATACGCATAGAAACCAGAGAGGCTCCGAATATTCGAATGGCCTGATCGAATAGCCGAATAGAATTGCAATTTTCGTTTAAGCCATCACTTATCTGGATTCAAGAACAATAATTGTTGTTGTTGATTTTATTGTTGGCGCACAATTTATTCTGGCCATCATAGCTGTTGAAAGATCTGAATTTGAACAAGAGGTTGGACATTATCTCGATGGAGGGTTGTTGGATAGGTACAAATCCCCCTCTTCCCGCTTCTCCCATTACCTTGATTGATTTTTATCCTAAAACATAAAATATTTTTCAAAACTTCAAGTTTTTCTAACTCGGCTCCGGCTGAATAGCGGATCAACTATTCGGCTATTCGACCAAATTCAATATTCGGTGCATCTCTGGTATAAATACATCATATATATATATATATATATATATATATATATATATATATATATATATGTGTGTGTGTGTGTGTGTGTGTTATATATATATATATATATATATATATATATATATATTATAGAAAGAGAGAAAAAAAAGAGGGAGTAAATACAAAATAATAATAATACAAACATTTAATATTTATTTATTTATGTTAGAAAAGTCGACCAAAATTTATGAAACACCAACAGCGTTGAGAAGTTTGCTTTGTTGATGGAGTCATGTTTGTGTGTGTGAGTGAGTATGTGTACATATGCATGTACTGTACATTTATACATCAATTTTTGAATGTACATATCTGAGGTTATTGATTTATGCTACTGGTAGGATGAAAATTGCAAGTCGATGATGATGATGATGATGATGATGATAACGACGACGATGATGATGATGATGATAACGACGACGATGATGATGATGATGATAACGACGACGATGATGATGATGATGATAACGACGACGATGATGATGATGATGATGATAACGACGACGATGATGATGATGATGATAAAAACAAATTCCACAACTTAAACGCCAAAAACCAAACAAACGTTTTAGCCATAGACAAAAGAAATAACAACAACAATAATAATAATATATTTATTATTATTAATATTATTTTCATAATTATATTTTTTCTTAATATTATTACGTCACAAACATAACAGAAGCAAATATTAATTAGTTTATAACGACATTTATAATTAAAGTTGCTAGCAAACTTTTAAGAATTGTAAGCAACATATTTTAACATTAATTATAAAAGCAGTGGGAATAAAAAGCTATTAATATTTATAAAAATAATATTACAATAATTATAATATTTAAAATGATCATATGAAACCTTACTAAAATATTCGCGCGGTCTTGCACAGATGAATAGTCGGTGAAATCTGAAGGAAATTCTCAATCAATCAATCAATCAATCAATCAATCAATCAATCAATCAATCAATCAATCAATCAATCAATCAATCAATCAATCAATCAATCAATCAATCAATCAATCAATCAATCAATCAATCAATCAATCAATCAATCAATCAATCAATCAATCAATCAATCAATCAACCAATCAACCAATCAACCAATCAAACAGTTAAATATTCAATCAACTAGTTATTTGTTCGTCCGATCGTTCGTTCGTTCGTTCGTTCATTCATTTCTTTATTTTAATCAATCCAACAAACAACCGAAAAACATTAGATCAATAATTCAATACTGTATATAGGTAACGACGATGATGACGACGACGATGTTCATAATGGTTATAATGTTAAAGGTGATGATGATGATGATGACGCAGATGATGATGATGATGATGATTGAACGCTGATGATGATGGTGATGATTGAACGCTGATGATGATGGTGATGATTGAACGCTGATGATGATGATGATGATTGAACGCTGATGATGATGGTGATGATTGAACGCTGATGATGATGGTGATGATTGAACGCTGATGATGATGGTGATGACATCAAATGGAAAAGATTGCATATCTGGGGTACATGTTCATAACAACAACATTATTATTCTTACTACAAAAAATACTTCTATTACAAGACTATGTGCCATATTAAATTACACCACACATTCACTCATTCGCTTTCTCTCTCTCTTTCTCTTTTTCTCTCTCTCTCTCCCACACACTCAAACACACACACATACACACATATTTAAAATCTGTAATAATGTTTAATATCAAATAAGCCTTGAGATAGTGTGCATGGATGAAAAAATGAAATTGTTTTGAAAAACTTTCCAACATTTCAGTAAAACTGTGAAATTGTACAAGCTAAGCACATATAAACATACACACACACGCGCACATACACACACACACACACACACACACACACAGATATAAACACACGCACGTACATTTATTCATTCACACAGACAGACAACAAACCTTACTCATCTTCAAATGATTAATTGAAAGTGTTGAACATTCTATTTTTTCACATTTAAAAAAAATATATATCTATCTATATATTTGCAAATCTCTATGTCCAACCGACGAGATATATATATATATAAATATATATATATATATATATATATATATATATTTGTGTGTGTGTTGTGTGTGTGGGGGGGGGGGTGTTGTAAATATTTAAGATAATATTTTTATCTAAAAAACATCTTTGAAATTATTTAAAATTGTTTGAAACATGACTGATTGAGTGAATGAATGAACGAACGAATGAATGAATGAATGAACGAA